TTAGCTTGGATAAATGGGGCTGGCCTAAGCAAAGAACGGTCCGAACAGCATGGCAGTCAGAGGAAAAATCGGCGAGATCTCTGTGCCCTTCCCTGTAGTCATGCACAGTGAAGCCCCCCTGCGCATGACATGGGGAACAGGCACAAAAATCCTTTTCACTTTCAAGTTTACCAATTGGGATCGGCGCAAGCGCACTCTATTCCAAGGGTGTGATGCATAGAGACCATAAAGACGATACTGCAGGAACTGTGAATGGCTGTTGCAGACAACAATGAAGAATGAACTGATATCACAGGGCGAACTTACATTCTTCATCAGTTTAGGACAACACAGAATCACAGAGTTCCAAGGGACTTCCAGAGTCATCTAGTCCAACCCCCCTGCACGATGCAGGAAATCCATAAATACATTCCTCCCCCCACACCCCCAGTGATCCCTGTTTCATGCCCAGATGACAAAAAACCCTCCAGGATCCCTGGCCAAACTGGCCTGGAGAAAAATTGCTTCCTGACCCAAAGTGGCAATCAGCATTTCCCTGGGCGTGTAAGAAAGGGCCACGAGAACTAAGCACTGATGCAACCCCTCCTGCCCTTCTTCTCATGATCTGACTAAGTTCACACAATCAGCATTGCTATCAGAGGACTATCTAATCTCTGTTTAAAAACCTACAAAAGAAAGCCCACCACCTCTTGAGGAAGCCTGTTCCACTGAGAAACTACACTGTCAAAAACTCTTTTGATTTAATTTTAACCATTGGTTCTGATCCAACCTTCTGGGGCAACAAAAAAGAACTCCGCACTATCCTCTGTATGACAGCCCTTCAAGCACTTGAAAAGGGTTATCATATCACCTCTCAGTCATCTCCTCTCTAGGCTAAACATACCCAGCTCCTTCAACCTTTCCTCATAGGACTTGGTCTCCAGACCTCTCACCATCTTTGCTGCCCTCCTCTGGACACATTCCAGCTTATCTATATCCTTCTTAAATTGTGGTGCCCAAAACGGAACAGAATGCTCTAGGTGAGGTCTAACGAGAGCAGAGTAAAGTGATACTATCACTTCACGTGATCTGGACACTATACTTGTGTTCATTCAGCCCAAAATTGCATTTGCCTTTTTAGCTACTGCATCATACTGCTGACTCATGTTCAGTGTATAGTCTACTAAGACCCCTAGATCCTTTTCATACATACTACTGCCAAGACAAGTCTCCCCCTCCCATCTTATAATAATGCATTTGATTTTTCCTACCTCAGTGCAGCAGTTTACATTTATCTCCACTGAAATTCATTTTATTTGTTTCAGCCCAGTTTTCCAGCCTGTCAAGATCATCCTGTATCCTGACTCTGTCTTCTACCATATTTGCTACCCCTCCCAATTTAGTATCATCTGAAAATTTAATAAGCATTCCCTCTATTCCTTCATTCAAACCATGGATAATAATGTTGAACAAAACATTCCCAGGACAGATCCTTGAGACACTCCACTTGTCATTCCTCTCCAATAGGATGAGGAACCATTCACAAGCACCCTTTAGATACGATATGTCAACCAGTTACGAATCTGCCTAACAGTAATAG